CTTGCGCACAGTCACCCACGCTCTTGTCACCTCCCGCCTGGACTACTGTAATGCTCTCTACATGGGGCTTCCCTTGAGGAGCACTCGGAGGCTCCAGTTAGTCCAGAATGCGGCCGCGCGAGCGGTGATGGGAGCGACTCGTTGCTCCCACGTAACGCCGCTATTGCGCGAGCTGCACTGGCTGCCTGTGGCCTTCCGACTGCGCTTCAAGGTGTTGATTATCATCTTTAAAGCGCGCCATGGCATTGGACCTGGTTATATCCGAGACTGCCTTCTGCCACAGATTGCTTCCCACCGGCCGATACGCTCCCACAGAGAGGCCCTCATCAGGGTGCCGTCGGCCAGACAGTGTCGGCTGGTGACCCCCAGGGCAAGGGCCTTCTCTGTCGGAGCACCCACCCTCTGGAACGAGCTGCCCCCAGAGATCCGGGTCATTCCGGATCTCCCCTCCTTCCGCCGCGCCCTTAAGACCTGGTTGTTTCAGCGGGCAGGACTGGCCTAGGGGCATTTTAAATTGTTTTTAGCCAAATTTTAGTAGAAGCGGCCGATTATATATTTATTTTTAATGATTTTTAAAACTTCTATTGTATTGTATTAACTGTTTTTAACTGGCTGTAAGCCGCCCTGAGTCCTACGGGAGAAGGGCGGGGTATAAATTTAATAAAATGAAAAATGAAAATGAAATTAAACCTATCAATAGCAAGAGGAGTCATGTGGCACCATGTTTTTTGCAGCTACCATCCTCACCCCACCCCACCCCACCCTAGTGATCAGCACTTAGAAAGCTCTGTCATCACAGTTACCAGGATTCCATGGGAAAAGGAAATGATGATGATGATGATGATGATGATGATGATGATGATGATAATGATAATGATAATGATAAAGTTGGAAGGGACCTTGGAGGTCATCATTTTGGACAAATATAGAGTATAGCCTAGGACATGGGTGTCAAATTTGCCACACCATGTGATGTGTCGCAACATATCGTGACTTTTTTTGCATTGCTGGAGCTGGGGTGGGCGCGGCCTCCATATGATGCAACTGGCCGGGGGGGGCAGCAGTTTGACACCCCTGGCCTAGGACGTTTGGCTCTGTTAAAAGAAAGCTACAAACTAATTTCAAATAGTTGTTGAGTTCGGCAGAATTTTCACCCTGGTAGTACTGAATTTAGCACGTTACATTTATTTTTATGAAGACAACTAAAAGAAAGGAAATTTGGGAAAGGGATGATAGGAATATAGTCAATTAGTTCCTTTTGCTAATGAAATTTGCTCCAGAGTGATGCATCAGAACAAATCTGGGGCAAGGCTGGAAGTGTTAGGCTATGTATGCAAGTATACTCTGGTGTGAAATTGGATTTTGCTTCAGGTATGTTCTAATGGATACATTTACACATGATTATCTTATTTCCATTAATACTGAAATATTAACTTGGAAAGATCATTCAAACTCATTAGTTTTAACCAAAAATGGCATCCATGCAAAAAGAACACTCCCACAGAGGGAAACTCTTAAGCCACTATATGACACTATCCCAGATTCTGATCAAGTAACTAAGCATACCTTCCATCCTTTGGTTGTTTCCACTCCATTGTATTCTGGGTGTGAACCTCCACTTGTCGTGCTTGAGGCCTAGAAAGAGAGAGCAAAGAATATCATATTTGAACAGGAAGAACCAGAGAGAAGATCTGAAACCAGAAAGCATACATGGGTTTGCTAATAATCTGAATAAAAGCTTGTCAATTAAATATATTGAAGCTTGCAAACTAGTAGAATGTATAGTGCAGACATCTAAGCTCTACAGAGGTCTGTGGGCATTCCCATAACATTAAGCTGATATTAGTTTAGTAAACTATATGGGAGACGGAATAATTTCTTCCATGCATATTATTTGTATGCAGAGGGATACAGTAGATGGATAGATAATTAATCAGTAGCTAGTAATTTAAGCTTAATTACAGTTCTTTATGCCAGAAGAATTTCTCAAGGAGTTTCTACTCCTATCTAATTGGATTTACTCTAACCTAGTAATCTATCAAGTAATTAAACCTAACCCCGAGACCTATGCTTCAAGCCAAGCAATGACTGTGGTTTGCATTAGTCTGCCACTTACAAGTCTACCCCAGGTGCTTCAAGACGGGAAAGATCCAGGCTCTTGTGCTTAGAAATTTAACAATTATGATTAAATTACTCCATCAGAAGTGAAAATAAATGTTGATTTGATCAGCTTTGAGTGGGACACCTGCTTTGCCACTTCCTGTTTTTGTTCCCAACTGACATCTCAATAATATTTTTTTCCTAGGATTCTAATATGACTTACAATTCTGTGGCCTGTAGGATTCTCCAGCACAAAACGCTGCACTCTCTTCTGCCTTTGTTGATACAGTCTCGATCCCCTGTTTATGGACAGGGACAACTCCTCCATCATCAGATCTTGAGGAGTGCTAACCTTCTTTCCCAAGTCTAATTCTGGAACTGAAGACACAAATAAATATATATATATCCAGAATAGAATAGAATAGAATAGAATAGAATAGAATAGAATAGAATAGAATAGAATAGAATAGAATAGAACCTTAGAGGTCTTCTAGTCCACTCCCCCTGCTCAAGCAGGAGAACCTATACCATCTCAGATAAGTCTCTTCTTAAAAACCTCCAGTGATGGATCACCTGTGATTTCTGGAGGCAGGCTGTTCCACTGGTTAATTGTCCTCACTGTTAGGAAGTTCCTCCTTAATTCCAGACTGATTCTCTCTTTGATCAGTTTCCAACTGATGCTTTGGAGAATAGTTTGACCCCCTCTTCTTTGTGGCAGCCCTTCAAACACTGGAATGCTGCTATCATGTCACCCCTATTTCTTCTTTTCTAATATGGATGCATTTGTTTCACCCTTTGCCATTCTCTGCACATTTAATCGAAAAGACTGTAATCAAGAATGCTTACTGGATTACAGTCTGTATAGGAATTAGCCCTACTATAACTAGGGATGGAAGTTTTTGCAACAAGAAACATTCAGCATAATTCTCTGCACATTTTCCTTGGAGTTCACTGGATGTTTGTTCCCTAGAAGGATCCTTGTTTTTTGTAGCTGAGGATGTGATCAACTTAAAAATAACAACAACACATGGGCACATCTCTGTCCAGACGAACAAGAACAAATATTCCTTAAGGCTCTCCTAGCAATAGGCTTTGCACAATACAGGTAGTCTTCGACTTACAACAATTCATTTAGTGACTATTCA